CGAAATCGAGACCGCCGAGGATGAAGGACCAGCCGTTGGCGTTCCACGTCCAGCAGGCGATGGGGTCGTAGACGAGGGTGGACCATAAGAATACGAATACCATGATGGGGCCGAGACGGCCTCGTTCGGCGATGGCACCGACTGCGATCATGGGGGTGATGGCGGCGAACATGAGTTGGTAGACGCAGAATACGATGGAGGGGATGCGGGTTGAGCCCATGCTGGGTTTCTCGAGGACGCCGAGGAGGGCGGCGTGTTGGAGATCTCCAATGAATTTGCCCCCTGTATCAGAGAATGCAAGAGAGAATCCCCAAATGTACCACTGCGAAGCGTTACTTTAGCATACAATTAGGGTGAAGTAAAGGGAGAGTGAGGTACCTGGAAGGATACGACGGCGATGGTGACCATGGCGAGCCAGAGCTGGTTGAGTGCATTCTTGCGACGCAAGAGACCCGAGTAGAGATATCCAACGCCGGGAATCATGAGCCAGACGAGCGCGGTGGAGGCGAGCGTCCAGGCAATGTCACCCGCATTGTAGACAAACTTGGTTCCATCGTCAGCGGTATACACCGTATCGTTGGCTGCAGGAGCGTCAGTATACGACAATTCCAAGGCGACGCTCGCTCACATTCGTCGTAGGTGATGTTTGTCCACTGAGACATGGTTGCTCAGGATGGGCGGGGAGGTCGAACGAGTGGGAGAAAAAGAAGACGAGTGAACGAGGGTTTTTATATGCTTCTGTTGCTCAGTCAAAGAATGGCCTTGCCCCCTGAGGTTTATCGCGCTCTGCCATTCATCGAGGGCCATTCCTTATCAGCCAATCATAGCGCGGCTACACATTTCCCACTATCTCTCCGCTAGAGCACCCCCTTCAATCCACGCCCAGTCCATTCATTCATCAAACAATTTTCAAATTCCACGTTGAAGTGTCCGCGGGCCAGCTAACGAGGGAGGAGGAGAGTATGTCTCGAGTGCATCTGATCGAGTGTCTCTCGTGTACGGGCGAGGCGGAACGAGGCGGAATAAATGATGCACGAGATTATTGGAGTTTCCATAATTATTCGGAATGCTGTTTTTTCCAGAGTCGTGTGCGGACAGCGGGAACCGGCCAGGTCGAGCCGACGTTGTAATCTATCACCACTCGCATAACACTACCGATGTCCCATCACTCGAGTATCATGATTTATGATGAATTTATGATGAATTTATCTTGTTACCACTCGCACTACTCTTGTCAGTTCCAAGGAATATCCGGGCTGATAACAGTCCTGAATATCGTCGTCATCGGCCGTGCTGCGTCTTATCTCTTGTTCGGCTGCGCTATCTGCTGCTGGCCTCGTCCATTCTCTATCTCGTTCTGGCCCCTGCGTTGGCAGTTCATCAGACACCGTTGACGTGCCGGACAAGCCGCGGGAGAGAGATACAGCGCATGGCTTTACCCGACTCTCGTGCACACAACGCGAGCTATCTAACTAGGCCATCGAGCTCACTAACTCATTCTATCTACAAGTTTGGTATGATACATTACGCCCCTCACGCAAAATCATCGTTCCATTTCGTCGCTCCTTGCACTCCGGCAAATTCCAATGCTTCCTGGAGCAGAATCACCCCGCTGCTCTGGTCACCCTTGGTCACAGGCTCGAGCAACACGTCCATCCCAATCCCCTCTTTCACCGCGCTCGCATGAAACTCGCGAATCAACGACGCAGAATCAAACGTCCACGTAGGCTTCCACGTGCACTGTTCAATTCCATACCTGAGAAGAGAGGACGAGCGTTAGAGAGAATGGGTTAGAGAAGATGACGGGATGCGTACCCATCCCATTTGACCAACCAGGCAAACTGCCCGGGCTGCTCTGCACACGGCTTGCGTCCCACCAGTCTCTCAATCAAATACGCTTCCTGGATTCGACAATCTGCAGCCGCACATTCATTCTGCTTCAGCCTCGCCTCTTCGTCTTCTTGTTTCACGACTGTAAAACAAGTTAGGATTGTGCAGGCGAGTATGGGCACACGTACAGCCATCGACACTATTGACACTGCAAATGGCTAGTCAGAACCAACTTTATACTCTTGTGCCAAGCCAGACGTACCCTCCTGGTGGACAGGCCGGACAGTGATACGGCGTGTCATCCCCCATCTTTTCCAGTGCTTCCATCGTCACACCCACACAAGGACAATGATACCATCGGTCACATCTAATTCATAGATATTAACAATGCCCGAGATCAAGCTGCGCACTCACACGTCGCATTGGATCTGGTGGGAGGAAAAGGGTCAGCAAGGAAAAGGGTTTTCAGAGAAGCGGCCGCCTAAAACGCACCATATCCGTCTCCGCCTTGTCCCCGAGCGAAGGATCTGCAGGCTTGGGTCCCATACGTCGCGCAGCCCCCTTCTTCCTTCTCACACGCCCAGCTTTGTTCACCGGTGTCTTGACCGCACCATTACCACCACTTTGCTTCTTGCCACTCGATGTTCCTCTGGATCTTTGTGGACCCCGTTTGACTCGTTTACGCGCTGGGAAATCGCCATCGTCTTCTTTTTCAGACTCGCCGCCGCTCTCTGTCAGATCGGACAGGTCGGAACCGTCTAGTAGACCAGCAACGTCCATTCCTTCAGGCGCAGTAAGTTGGAGGAGGGGTAGGCCGGACGAGTTGAGGAGGAGCTTGCTCGTGGGCGAGTCTGCCACGGCTCGGCCACTCCGTAGACGCTTTAAGGGTGATACAGTCTGCTTTGGGTTGCGCATTTGAACCAGTCCGTGGTTCCCGAATCGGTGGATGGAGGAGGCGAGTGCACTATTGCTCGTCACGCCCCCTGTTATCTTGCCGCCCATTCCTCCCTTCATAGGAGGAAATTCTACTATGCGAGACGAGTGTTGTTTCTGTTGTCGGTGGTGACGGACTAGGTCCACGGAAGAGACTGGTCGAGCGGTGGGCACTTTTTACATTTAGCCACTGTCGCATCGTTGAAGAGAGCACTCACCCGACTTGGATAGCTCTTGGAGGGTTTGGTGTACCTCTTTGACGGTCGAATCCACCGCCTGTGTCTGCGTGACCAAAGGTGACACCTTGTCATCAATCTGGCCCATTCCCCTCGCGAGCAGGTCCATCTTTTTCGACATCGAGTCAACATTTTGTTCTAATCGAGGTAACGTATCGTTCAAATAGGTCCACACGATCGAGACAGACGCTTGTTCTTGCTCCTCGCGCATTGTTGCGAGTTCAGTGTGTAGCCGTGCATGCTCGGCACCGAGCACGACTTGCTGCTTTAGAATCGTCTCGCACATGACAAACAACTGACTAAACCGGTCTTGAAACAGCTGAGCGAGGGGGGTATCGTTAGCATTGGCATGTGCATTGTTGTTGGTGAATAGAGTATCGTTGTGACTAGTCGGCGAACCAAAAATGTCGAGCACGTCTTGAACAGAGTCTTCGGAGAGGTCTACGTCGGCTAGCGGGGGAGGCGACATCGCGAACAGACCATTCATTTTTTTTCAAGGGTCAACGTCGAAACGCGCGGAAAAACGCGTCTCACCACCTGCTACCTCTCTTTCTTTACCCCCAAAAGTACAGACAAGACGCTGGCGAGAACTCTTTTCATTGGACAAAAGACGGGCTAAAGATAGGCGTATAACTATTTGTACGTGAATAAATGTGCTTTTATTGTGACCTTTTTACTCTTCTCGGCGTTCTGGGTTTGGAACAAAGAACCACAAGACGGCCATGACCGCCATCATGATCACAATCCTAACCTTGTTAATTGTGTGACCTGAATCGTAAAATTGACTCACAATGGTTGTAGGGATTGAATGCCCCACCGGGCCGCCAAGGCTCCCGTAACAAAAGGCAAGGCTGCCGACCCTGTCCCACCGAACCCTGAAATCCATCCGATAGAACCAGGAAGTAGCTATGGAATGGGGGTCAGGATGAGTGGTTCACGTGCGGCCCGTACTGACCTTGCGCGGAATGATGCGGCCTGCCTGGGACATGACGATGGGGTACATTGGCCCTAGGACCAACCCGACAAAGGACACTGCTACCGCGTTTCCGATGAGTGAAGGCACGAACCATATCGTGAACTCGAGTCTACCGGTACCGATCAGTCCGCTGCAGTCAGAAGGGAGAGAAGGACGAACGCGATCCCGATAACTATGTAAATGTAAACAATTCGCTTCTCTCCTACGAGTTTATTGATCCATAGGAGAACGACGCGACCTGCCGCCAAGCCTGCCACCAAGGCGTCAACCTATCTATTCCGGAACTCCACTGCATACTCGCCTCCAAAGAAGCCAGAGTTGACGTATCCGGATGATGGTCCTCCCCCTCTCCTTTGGATAATGAACGTGACGATCCATCCTGTTCACATATCAACTAGACCGCCTGAGGAGCATATGGTGGCTCACCTCCAATGGTGACTTCAACGCCAACGTATACAAAAACGAAAGACGCCATCAAATGCATAGGGATCTGCTTCATGACGGTCGCAAACATTCCAACCTTTTTGACATTGGTGGGAGGGGGTGGTGCTGGTGTCGTTTCTCCCTCCTCTTCAGAGGACTGTCGACGGACTTCTTCTTCAGCCAGAGTAGGAGGAACTATCATCTCGACTTGTTCTACGACACCATCTCGTTTCAAGCCGATATCCTTCATAATGACTTGGATGTGTGAGAGAGGATATTGGGGTTACGAAGAGTACGTACCGTCATATCCCTTACCCTTAAAAGTATACAGGATTAAGCTCAGACTGATGAGGGTAGATCCGAGAAGGAACATGTAGTGAAACGCCCATTTCCTATCGGTATGTTTGGAAAATTGAGTAGCGATCAGAGGAGAGACCAGAGCCCCGGCACCTTGCCCACAATTAGCAACATACCACATACGTAAGGATGGCTTACCATAGGAAGCATGAGCAAATCCCATTTCGGTCGAGTTTTCCAGCATGGACATGAACCCATTTCCATGTGCGTTGAGGAGAGCGAGCCCAGAGCCGAGAAGAAACACCGCAAAGCTGGTGACCTGGTTCAGTACATATCAAATTCCACATACAAAAAGAGATGCCCACCAAACGAGGGGAAAAGGGGGAGCAGACGCAAGGATGGAATATGCAGTTAATTGGCAGATGGCACCGAATGTAAGTAACTAGTTGAACCAGGTTATAACTAGCTCTACTAATGCCGGGTTTGGACTCACTTTTGAAAAGTTGATCCGACTGGAGAGCAAGACATTGAGAACAGACATGGCCACAAACCCCTATTTTCGAATTGGTATGGGAGAAAGAGGTATCTATCGAGAGTTACTTACAATACAGTTAAAGATGAAAATAAGAGAGACGGTGATGAACCCAATCTACTGGTCTGTTAGAGATACACCCCACGCCACAGCCAAAACTCACTCGATAATAGCGTTGGTACGCGGGTATTAGTGGCCCAAGACTACCGTCATTGAGACCAAATGCGAAAAAGCACCATAGTAGACTGAAGAGGCACTGGCGATAATACCTTTTCTTTGCACGCAAGATGGTCTCCTCGTCCTCTTGCTTGGAGGGCGGGTGACTGTCTGCTTTACTCGATTCCATAATCCAGAAGGAATGGGAGACCCTAGCTTCAAGAATGGGAGACCCTAGCTTCAAACGAGGACTATAAGCTAATGCTGCGGCCTATAAGTACTATGGCCACTCGATGGGGTTCACCACATACGGATAAACATCGGCAACTTTTGCTCTCCAGTCCAGATTGCGGGGTGGCTCGCTATTGAAAATGATGCACATCTGACTAATAAATCTTTCTTTTTTAGTGCTCTCGGGGACGATAAGATGGCCGTGGTGGAGGTTCTCGAGGCAGGTAAGTGCAGGTTCATCACCAGATGACCGTCCAACTTCGAATTTACTGTCCAGACTCCCAGCGGATGTTTTTGATTACAAAATTTGGAATTCGATAAAATACATTCCGTTAAAATTGATTACAAATATGATAGGGTCCCGAAACGCCAGAGATCCATGAAATGGGGTCATCCTTAATTCCGCTTGTACCCTAAGTATCGTACACAGTTATGTATCATGGTCAAGTGGATGTTGCTTGGACCTTTCCTCCGACTGGAGCCTCCCGTAACAGCCAGGCAGGTGCCATGGGGTGGGTTTGAGCGTACACCTGGGTTCTCCCTCCTGCTACACCGTTTATAATCGCCACGTCGGGAAGGGGTGCAGGCCGCCCATCTTGTGGACCATTATAACGTTCCTCAGGTACCCGGTGATGAGATTGGTCAGGTGAGTCACCTTCTCGGACATCCGTCGAGCCGTACTGGTGATGTTTCTGGAAAGGCGATAGGAGTTTAAAGCGCCATTTATTGGGCTCGTGGTGCTCTTGGTCATTTACGACTTGTCCGTTCTCGACATCTGTAGAAGAGGTCGCAGGTTCAACTGGGCGAATCCCGTGAACGAGATGTGCGGCTTCTCGGCCTATCCAATTTGCTGCAGGATTGGCCAGCGCAAGGAGGGTGTAAAATGTGATGACCCACACAAGCCCATCTGCCGAGGTTGCGATAGATGGCGTGAACAGTCGAATTCGGTGGTGGATGGCCAACGGGAGGATGGTGTCAATGAGACAATAAATAGACCGGACGATGAACAGGGGGACGATTCGCGTGGTAATTACGACGAGAACCTATTTTCACATCAACGTCAATCTAAATTCAGCAGGGATATATCAGAGGAGATACCTGATCGGGGAGGAGGAGATATCCATTCATGCTCCTCGACAGTTGTAGGATAGAATACGTCATGCAAGTGAATATGATGGCATGAAGCAGCTCTCCCATTTCGGTGATGAGAGGGTATTTGGTCTCTTCCCGATGCCCGTTCAAGGCGTCACTGACGGTCCGACTCTGAACCGACAGGAACACCCATACGATAAATAGGCAAACAAAGAGTAGCCAGTGGAAATACCTGGCTAAACGGAATCTTTTTCGTTTGTTTTCGGGTTGAGCTGCTGTTAGCGACCCCAGCCTGCTATGTAATGCCAGGAGGATACAAGCGAGCAACAAGAGTGGAGTGAGTCGTAATAGAGCTGCACAGATGACGGGTATTAGGGGAATCCTCTTCCTTCGAGGCAAGAAAGCCAGTAAGAAAAAGTTGACAATTATGAGAGTATAAGATACTAGATGTATGACGAGTCCAAGTCCTAGCAATAGGGCATAAGGCGCCTTGGTGGTCGAGGGCCTGAGTGACGGAAGACGTAAACAGAGTGCGCCAGTGACGATGAGGTATGTCAGGCAGGCCAGTGCCAGTATCACCGAGACTGCCATGTTGAATGATTTTCAGGACGCGTATATTCAGCTGTGATTGTCCCGGGATGATTTCCAAGTGGTGGTGGGCATCCACAGATGTGGGTGCAAGGCAAGTTTGAACCTAACTTCTACCACGCGAGCCACAACCTCGGGATCAGTCCCATGTCGTAGTGGACGATAGGGACGTGACAGCTATTCAACTGCATTTTCTACGGGACATCTACCACAGCCGTCGATGTAGTTGATAGGTACCTCTGACCAACCTCGGAGAACCTGATTCTTCAACCCTACCAATCCTTCTCGGGCTTCACATCAAAAGAACACAATCTACCTTGCAGGCTCGGTTACTCCGGAAGACAACACAGTTTACAACTATCTGGATGAGGGCGGTGGGCGTCCCCGGAAAATACATGTCGTGATAATTACTCTCCGGCCCACCGCGTACCGTTGGTCAACGACGAGAGCGCCCCTGTATAATGCACAAAAACAACGCTCATTATGTACTTGGACAACCCTGCCGATAGACGGTGTACCTCTCACGTGGCGAACGGGATCTCCAAGCCGGTGATGATCAGCTGCGTTATCAATTTAGATGGTCCGAGGGTTCTAAAAACCTGAAGTCTTTCTTTGTACATTGGACGTTTCCATTGCAACACCAACCACCATGTACCGCAGTCATTGGGGAATACAGCACGCTTGTGGTTTATCCGTGGTTCTTCAACTCGTCCTCGAGATCTTTATGACCGACATCGTTACACCTCTTGTGTTGCTTCAATCCCTAGTCGCTCTTTGTCCTCGATATTCCGGTTGAACCCCCTGCATATTCCCCCCCCCCCCCCACTCTGATATGAGTGATAGCTGCCACTCGTTTTCTAACTGACACTCTTTTATAACACAATGAAGGACCTCGATGGAAGTTCAATGCATTCTTTAGCTACCCCAAATCCCGCATATGCAGTAACGCGATGTCCGAACGGCGACCAAGGACACCTGATCGCGTGGCAGGCTGGTGTAGAATCCAGATCGCCATCCATTCATTTAGTAGACTGTTCAAAAGACCGAAAACAATCAAGTACAACACTCGCTCGGTTTCCTCCATCAATGACATGGTCGCCCAAATCACGAATCCGCCCGCGTCAGAGCCCAATGTGCCAGGACCCCTGCACCACTACTTGCTACACCTCGAATATTCAGTATAGAGCCGATGATTGTGAAGCTCTCTCGAACTGGATGTGGGACAGAGGTGAGTGTCACACAATGTTGTGGAGTAACCGTGTTCACCCAAAATAGAAGGGCAATTTCCAATAGACGCTGGAGAAAGAGTCGTCATGACATGGGGGACTTGCATGTACACTTTTACGAATGACAGGCCTAATCAGGTTACTTGGTGCGATGCACAATGGGTATGCTTGGCTATCCAACAAGTCAGCGACGCAATCAATGCTAACGTTCTAAACAGGCTCAAATCGGTTCTTGTAAGACTGAGATGATCAAACAAGCTCTTACTAACTCTTCGATAGATATAGCTAGGCCATGTCAAGCTTCCCCTAATGGTGGAGGAGGAATCTGCCAAGGCAATGGATTCAAAGTGGAGTGAGTAGCAGAATACCAATCCCATATGTGCTCTGATGAAGCAAAAGAGTGCTCGCGAATGATGGTTCTACGAATTCACCTACTCCATTCTCAAGAACAAGTACTTCCCCACCCACAACAACCAGCTCGCCTCCCCCAACTTATACTGAAGTACCGCTGCCTTTGATCACGACTGCTGCTCCGAGCAGTTCATCGACATCTTCTCAATATGGGAATTCTAACATACCAGCCCTTCCCTTGATTATCGCCTTGGTAGGTGGGGTCGCCGTCATCATCTTCGTCCTTCTCTGCACCTTCATGGTATGGCGTCGTTCAAACGGTGTAGAATCCTCAAAGGTAGCTAGTCTAATCGCCTCTCATGGAAGCCAGAGCTAAAGAACACTGAAAAGCCCAATGAAATGAGTTTACTACCATCCAGCGCTGGTGGAACATCAAACCACGGACATCAAAAACAGCAATTCCATACCCAAGAGAGTGTATCTGAGCATTCACACCACCCTATTCTCCAAAATGATAGGCCTAACAGTAAGGGCAATGGGAACGGCTCTCGTGGACCTACCCGTCTGTCCACTTATACCCTTGATTTTGATCCATTCCGAGCATTACGAAAAGCCATGGTGGGACACTCTTAAATGACGGACTCCTCTATATATGTACATGGCATAACGATATTTTTATTCTTGACTCATCCCTTGATCTCCAATGTAGCATACCCATAGTTTTGGCACAATGATATCTTTTTGACGACAGTTCAATTATATAAGTATGGATTAAAGCGATACCATTAGTCCATAAGCGTAAGAAAAGTACATGACAACAAATTCCAGAGAAAATAGGGTATTAGATGTACAGTCTGGCGGGGCATATCTAGGTCTAAAATTAAGAAATCATGGTAGTTCTACCGGGGTGATCGCATCCACTCCAGCGGCAAATACTCGCAGGGTCGCTTGCATCTGTTGAACGACCTCTAGATCGGCGACTGCATTCATTCGGACCGTTTCCCATTGCCTGGACACACCATCGGCTGCAGTTAGATAATTGATCCTGCTCATCCATTTTTTGGCTTCCAACTTCACAGCTTCGGCTACTTTGGCCTCGAGTGTGCTTAAGACCTGCTTCTCCACTTCAGCGGATGTGAGCTCGACCAGCTTCTCCGCTGCCAACTTTTCTTTCTCCTTTGCTCGTCGCTCCGATTCGCATTGCCGTTCCAGGTCGTCTATCGTGATAGAAGCCTGCTTTAATTGAGCATCCTTAGATGCAGTAGCCTTTCGAATTTCATCGATGGTTTCCTCTAGGAAGGCACTCTTCGCCTCAAGTTCGGCGTTCTGCAATCGAGCGAGCTCCAATTCTTGGACAGCATCTAGGTTCGATGTTACTTCAATAACCGGAAACGGAGCTGGGGGCTGTGATGTTCCTTCGAGGGCATGAATCTCATGGCAGAAAGTGCCCCTTTCAAGGGCATCATTACTCCGGGGTCTGAAGATTTCCATCCTCGCT